AGCCGCACTCAGACTCATCGAACCGAGCCCGAGCCGAACTTATACTCACCGAACCCGAAGCCGAACTTGAACAATGAAATCGAACTCGAACTCGAACTCGAACTCGCCGAACCCGAAGGTTCGGGTTCAGTGCATGCCTAATCATTGGCAATATTATTGCATACAGTGCGAACATATCTCTCTCCTTCTCTCTTATATTATCTAATTCAGGTGCATTCTTTCGTCTCTTTAGTCTATGTACATATGTATACGTATATACTATGTTCGTTTCTGTGTCATTTTCTTTCCGTTCTCTCTTATATCTTCATTCCATTAATTGGAAAGAAAAAGAAGATTTATACCATCGTCATTTTGCATCCCATGTAATACATATAGTTGTTCAAATAGCTTTGGTGAAACCTTAAATGTGCCGTCAGCAAATAATACATCTGAACCATATCAGACATTTAACTGTTCATCAGAAGCAAATATCATCAAACGGCCTCCATAAATAGTTTTTCGCTTATCATAGATAAGAAATTTTTGATGCGAGTAGGTTTCTTGATAAACTGGTAGTAAGAGAAACTTTTGATTCTATGGTATTGGTGGTAATGATTTTCTTCTTAATTTATGTAGACCAGATTCTAATGAATAAAAATTAGAAGGTGGAATTAAATTACAGAAAGAGAACTAATTTATATACCTATCTGAGCCGGAAGAGGCATCATTCGTTTTTCTTCGACTGATAGATTTGCTTTCCTATATTCTTCTTCAATTATGATTTTGATTGATATATATTGATCAAGAACACGATGTTTAATTTTGTTTAATATATCACACTTTCGTGTTTCACATGCATCAGATGGATGACAATGGAATATGCCGTTCCAGTGACTAAATTGTCCTGTTTGTTTCGAGATATGAATAACGGCTTTGCAATTCTCATTTCTTCGAACACACCGCCAACCCGTTGTTTCTTTTGCCATACTCATATAAAGATATGCAAAGTCGTTCATGAAAATCATTTTCCCACCTCGTGTTGATGTAACCGTTGTTACTTCTCCTTTGATAACTGGTTCATTCATAAGATGATTTGAATCTCCTACAAATATTTCATTTTCATCGTTGTTTGATGATTCTAATGATATGATAGAATCATTATCATCATTCTTTGTTGGTGATGATGTTGTTGGAAAAACTGAACTCGTTATTGGCGTTGAAGATGTTGGTTCAACTGTTGCATCGTCCTTTTTTAATGTTACATCTTCATGAGGTTGTTCGTGAATATCTTCGGATGTAAGTACAGCATCTAAAGTTGTTGACTGTGGTTGAAGTGGAGAACATATTTGAGATTCAACAGAAGATATAATCTGTTGTCCTTGAGCTTGTTTACGTTTCTGCTTTGATGGATATTTACGAGTTGTTTTGCCAGTTGATGTTGAAGTTGGTGTTGCTTGATCTTGTGAATGAATTAAATCTGCATTAGCTTGGGATCTTAATGTTACTGCACGAGTAGTAACAGGCATTTGATTAACAATAGCTATCTGAAAAACTCGAAATCATATCATATATACTAAACTTTTTAACACCCTCAAGATATGAACAGATGTTCAATGTGTTATACTTCGTACTTGTTAACAAACAAATGATATTAGACATATTTCGAATAAATCTAAAACTACAAAGAAAAATTTTGATCATGTCATTCCTAACAATTTTCTTAGCGTGTATTTGTTACTGATTTCTTCGATCAATACCACTATCATTTTTCAATCGCCCAATATCTGAAGGATATACCAGCGTAAGTTCAGTGGAAATTCGCCAATTGGCTAATGTAAGGACAGTAAACTGGCGAAAGACCAATGGACACTCGCCAATTGGCGAATGTCAGAAAGGTACATCGGCGAAAGCACAGTGGACATTCGCCAATGGCGAAAGTCTGAATCGCGAAAGTCACAACTGACGAACTTCCGGTAACCCGAAATAACAGGTACAGAGTGATCATAAATTCCCTATAAAATAAATATAGTCTGCTCTTAGGTAATACCGGATTTTTTACAAGAATGGGCATGAAAAGACTTGATGAACGTCGTATATATTATGAACATAAAAGAAAAAGAAAAGCTCAACAGAAACTAAAACAAAGTGAAGAAACATCCGATTCGCAAAGTGATCGAATGAGTGTTGACGAGAACAGAGATGACCAATTAGATGACTCATATATGTCCGGTGCATATTGATATTTTTCCATGGAACAGTTGTTTTTGTTTTTTTTATTTGTTGATTCATGAATCATTATATTTCATTTTGTTCAGATATTTTCTATGATTAGAAAAAGAATAAAATATCTTTTCTAAAGAATTTGTTTTTTTTCTCGATACGATTTGTAGATAAAATGAATAATTTTAACATTTGTTACAATGCATTATATCGCGCATTTGATCAAGAAAATGTGATAATACCACTTGCTCTAGTCGAAATTCTGAAGCCTCAGAATCCCGTGGATTCATCTATCATTCATACGAATACAAATGATGATGAAGCTGAATGCCGTACTACAACAAGTAGCGAAGATTTTATTGACGATGAATCCGACGGTTTAGATAACATCGATTCGAGAAATACAAATCAGGGAAACCCCAAGAGCCGTACAAATGACAAATCTGCAGAGTATGTAGTTCGTATTTGGCAATGTTCCTATGAAAATTCTAAAGCCTAGAAGAGTGGATATTGATTGAATTTTTGACTTTCTTGAAATAATAAATGTTTTTTTGAATAAGAACATTTTTTTTAGTACACCAAAATCTCTATCAAGATCATTCTCAACATTAGCAATAACAAAAACGCAAATTCACTCAATTTACCGTTATCATCGTTAAAGCTAACAAACAAACCAAATCCACTCGACTTGCCTCATGATCAAAAACAGCGACAAGAAATTGATTCCAAGCTAAATCAACTCATCTTTGGTATTCGACAACAAAAATTAAAAACAAAAAAGAAAGAAATCTACGAGCTACCCCCATTAATCAAACAACTTATTAGATGTTTATATCCATCAGACATCGATGACAACAACTGTTCACAAAAACCAGATATTGTATTCACTCTTCGAACATTCATTGAACTGTTTCGCGTGTAATTTTTGTGTTTCAGCTCTTTTCGTTTTTCATCTGTTATTAGCATTTCTCGACAACTCAGGATTTCTATAAATTAACTTCACGACATTTCCTGTACGTTAAACTAATGAGTCATCTTGAGAGATATAGAGAACTCGATTTTCTCAAAAATATGTAGGTTTCCGCAAAGTATATATAAACTAAATATGCCATATGGAGCGCAAACATAATGTAATCATGATTTTATGTGTTACTAGGTGTGTTTCATTCAAAAGAATAGCCTATGAATCGATGGAAACGGAAAAAAAGAAAAATTTCGCCAAAAATGCGAAAATATCGAAAAATTTGAGAGTAGAGTGAGAGTATTTCTTCCATAACTCTATCAAAACTTGAGCGTTTTTCAAAAACCTATATATATTCTGAAAGAGGAGATCACGGGGCATTTTCCTATGATAAAAACTCATTTTCGGATTTTTTTCGAAAAATCGTTTTTCCTGACGGGGGCCCCCTTAAAGGGACTAAATGCATTAAAGGCTACCTATATTTATATAGAAAAGTTAGACCGGGATAATTTTTATTTCTTGTGGACCTATGACCTAATGAGATCCTTAAGCAAGATCGAAACGTGTCATGGCTGCCTATATCACACCCAATACTATATTCAAATTCAATCAAACCAGCTGAAACATTGAGCTCTCAATTAAAACTATATATTATATTAGATTAGATTTATACTACTGAACTTATATTTAATAGCCATCATAAATTATAAAGCATTTATGAAAATCACTATTGCAGTCAAATATATAACAAAGATTACAAACCATCCAAAATATGTTTCATTAATTCAGAGTTTTGGATTCGGAATAGCTTGGATCTGGATTTGAAGTAATTCAGATTTGGATTCGGAATAACTTTCATTCAATTTTAACCCCAACTTTGATCTAATCCAAAAACCTATCATACAAAGTGGAGCAAAATTGACATCAGCCTTCCAAATAAAATTGAAAATATCAAAGACTTCGACCAAGATCCATCCAAATGAACGACCTATAGATGCATCCCAATTCATGCTTTTCGATAAAGTTCTTCTTTTGTGAACCGGTATCTAGAGTGTTCAATTTCTGAAATCGATCCCATTCTATAATTTGTATTCTAATTTGTAATTTTACCTTTTTCTTATTTCTGAACTTGTGCTTATTTGTAATGTAGAGCCCTGAAGAGTGTTTCATTATTTCGATAAATAAATAATACGAAACGCGTCGGCGAAATTAAACTCTGCATTTTATTTAATTCAAGCACAAATTTAAATATATAATAACGGATGCGTCATAATAAACGGCCCACTTTTGTACTAATCAAAATCTATGTGCTTTATCCGTATTTTCCCCCTATTCTAATATCGTATATTTGGACTATAGTAGAGCTACACAACAGTACAATATAAACTCTATAGGTCGAATTTACACTAGTTTTTATAATGAAATCTAAAGACCTTCGAAAAGTGGTAATGCGAATGACTGATGATGGAATTTTATCACGTCAAATTGCAAAAGAATTACGAAATGTGGTGAGTGATTGTACAGTTAGACGATGGCAACATTTATATAAAAGAACAGGTTCGATTGATTTAAATGTACCAAGTGGTAGACCTCGAATTGTACGAACAAAACAACTTATCCAAAAGGTGAAACAGAGGTTTACTTATAAACGTCGACGAAGTGCAAGAAAATTAGCTAAATCACTTTGAGTTTCTGAAGCAACAATGCGTCGTGTGATTCAAGACGATCTTCATTTACATGCTTATCATGTTATAATTCAACCAAATATTCAGGATGATCACAAGCAACGAAGAAAATCATTTGCATACTGGGTGAGAAAATCATTAAGAAAGAAAGACCATGGTTTAATTTTATTTACTGACGAAAAATATTTTGGTATGGATGGTATATACAATCGTCAAAATGATCGTGTTTATGCATCAAGTCGTCAAGAAGCTGATGCGCATGGAGGAATACACAGATTATCGAAATTTCCAAAACGCATTATGGTATGGCTAGGTGCATGTAAAGAAGGTGTTACAACTCCAATTATTTTTAAGCCTGGTGAAACGTTAACACACAAAAATTATATTGATATTGTACTTCCACATGCATTCCCTGAAGGTCAACGTCTATTGGGTGAAGATTTTATATATCAACAAGATAATGCAACACCGCATACACATAAAGATTCCTTAACATGGATTCGAAACAACTTTAGCAGATTCATCGATGAAACTAAATGGCCTCCTAATAGTTCGGACCTGAGCGTTTTGGATTACTACGTGTGGGATGCTATTAATCATAATATTCATTGGGAAAAAATTAAGAATTACAATTCTTTAATTGAAGAAATAAAGCAAGTTGTTATTCGTGTACCAAGTACTAGTGTCGTTCACAGTGTAGAAACTTGGTCAAGTAGAATTTCTTCTATTTTAAGAACAAACGGTGACTATATTAGATAATATTGTTAGTGCATATTATACCCCTAGACATCTTGCATTTATTGATATTATTTGATTTTAAATAAAGCATATCTAGTAAGCATGAACATCGAAACAAACGTGGGCCATTTTTTCTGATGCACCCGTTATTATATTATATCATTTTTCGACTTTGATCGATTACTGAAAAGTAAGAGTTGAGACTAGCAGATTGATTTGTCTTTTTGTTAAGAGATAGGTTAACCTGTTTCGAATCGATTAAGATGTCTTAAGCCATTTGAGAAGTCCCTTAATCAAGGACAAAACAGGTCGTGGTATGCTTTCTAGCTTTGAATCTAAAAAATTCCATTCTTAACACACCTTTGTTTAGAACTGCAATGTCTCGTCTCTTTTGGTATTTATTTTTGAAATATTTAGAGATTCTAGTGATATTTAATCATTTTTGTTGAGAATTTAGTGGAAGTCAACTTGTTTTGATTTTTATAAAAATTTTTACTTAAGTATTATTTGATCGATATGCAGTTAATTAGATTCTGAAAATACTTGATGATGGCCGGATTAAGCCCTGATCGAAACGCGTTGTAACTAGCTTTAAACCAAAACAATTGCATTCTACACTGTAAAATAAATAGATACTTTACGGAACCTCGAAAAAACGTTCGGTAGACGACAAAAAGCTTGCAAATGTGTTCAAAATTTCAAAAAAGAATGAAAAAAATCCACGGAACCTTTAAAGGATCTTACCGTGTACCCAAGTGTAGATCCTTTTCTCTTAGAAACCTTTTTAAGTTCCATACACCAAAAAATAGGTTTTGTAGGAACATACGAAACCTTTAAAGTTTCGTATTAAACCTCATGGTTTCGTACTGGACTTCCTGTAAACCTATTATATTTAATACGAAACTCTAAAGGTTTCGTATGTTCCTGCAAAACCTATTTTTTGATGTATGGAACTTAAAAAGGTTTCGAAGAGAAAGGATCTTCACTTGGGTACACAGTAAGATCCTTTCAAGGTTCCGTGGATTTTTTTATTCTTTTTTTGAAACTTTGAACACATTTGCAAACTTTTTGCCGTCTACTGAACCTTTTTTCGAGGTTCCGTAAAGTACCTATTTTTTACAGTGTAAACACACTCACACCCATCGAGGATGGTTCACGCAAATCTGATCGGGTTCAGGACAATTACTATCCGTTTGATCTCATGGAATTAATTCGGAGCAATCAACCCATTGAAAGCCACAAATACCGATGTTTGAGACCCCTATCATATGAAAACATCCATATGCATTGTTTGAAGAATAACGGCCATATTGAGATATTCCATGGCACAATTGAGAATCAACTTGTGCTGTTAATGCTTTAAATCAACAACAAAATATTAGGTCAATAGAATGATGAAAAAATTGATCTTGGTGGAAAACGCAGAAAAAAATTACTAGAAAGGAAGGCGTAGAAAAAGAAAATATAGAAAAGGAAAATATCGAAAAGGAAAACACAGAAAAGGAAAATGTTGAATACATTCGAATGATGTTACTAGAGAAATTCTATTTTGTTATTCTGAGTGGCACAGGGACGGATCTAGGATTTTGAAAGAGAGGTACGACTGCCTGAAGGGGGTGCGATCCTAGACAAAAAACACATTTTGAGATATATTCCAGGTAGTATGAGCTTGTTTTTCGTTCGTTTTTGCTGGGAAAAATAAAAAAAATTATCGAAGGGGGTACGACGAGGTGATCGCACCTCCTAAATCCGCCACTGCATTGGTCACTCTTTCGCTCCACATATTATATTTCTGATCAAGTGAAGAAAATTTTCAAATATTCAATTGATATATTGTTAGAATGGCGACAAACTTAGATTCTGAAAATAGTCCATGTAAAACCCAGCATTGCATTTTGACATATCGTTTTCTACATCTAACAAGGGTAAACCATTATTAATATACGAGAATTACCTATTCAAGTGCAATAAGACAACAGCAAATAAAAAAACAACAGCTTTTCAAATGAGATTTGACACTCTGCACAGCAGATTTCTCAAGAAGGAAATCAACGCAAACGAACTATTGTCAGGTTTATCATTGTTGATTGGAAAAAAAGATGCACTTATATTGTCAATTTTCTTTAGTCTTTTTCATTTTAAATTAATAGAGCATAATATTTCTCATTCATCAAAAAGATAAAGTTAATCATTTCGACGTTTTCCTTTTCTACATTTTCCTTTTCTACATTTTCCTTTCGAGTATTTTTTTTCTACCTTTTCCTTTTCTGCGTTTTCCTTTTCTGCGTTTTCCTTTTCTGCGTTTTCCTTTTCTGCGTTTTCCTTTTCTGCGTTTTCCTTTTCTACGTTTTCCACCAACCCCCAAAAATTTCTATTTACATGAGCAGAAAGAAGACCGAGTAATGGAAAGCCATTGAAACCATTGTCGTTGAAGTTCAAGCAAAATCGAATCAGAATGATGCTGTTATTGATGCTGAAATGATCAGTGGTGCCTTTTAAAGCTACTGTAGACGAAGCGGTACTTCGTATAATCCCACTATACAAAGAAATATGATACTATTTTGATTTTCATTCAAGTTTTAATTATTGCATTAAATAGTCTTGATACAAAAAGGTAATTGATGAAAACAACATAAAATCGAACCCTTCGATACGAAAATAGTCAGATTTCTCTTATTTTAGTGATATCACTGAGCCTTTTCTACTTAGCATGCACCAAGTTAAAGTCATGAAACTACTGAAGATTTTCAGGACAATAACTTCGCTGATTTCGTTTCTCCCACTAGCATTACTTCTCAAGAAAGAAATCAAGCATTTTCTCTTGTTCACAGTTATTGATTATTTAATAATAACTCGTTTTTTCTTCATTTATTGGTCAAAATATATGCTGATTTTGAATAAAAACATGAGAATATGAATATACTGAACGATTAAAAAGATGTTAAAGCACAGAAGTTTCAAACGTCAAAGCTTATTTTTCGACGTCGTCTCAAAAATAGCACTGAAAATCGCTGTGGAAGTGGGTGTGCGTGTAGATTCTCTATTCACACCCACGCCCAAGATCTCCTTTCCTTAAACAATTCGAGTCTAAATTACTGATAAGTGATGGACAATTTCTAATGACTTCGTCAATATCATGCCTCACAAAATCAAATAATATTTGTCAACTGATATTAGGTCTGTTTCCGATGTATTCAGAATCAATCTTTTTTTTGAATATGATACTTCAAAAATAATTGATTCTTGTTGTTGCAATGGATCACAGAATATTTATGAAGAATGATTATTTTTTAGGTAATAGAATACTGCATTCTATCATTTTCTATTCTTATTTTAGGTCGAGCGTCACAACTACTTAAAACATGATAACGTGTGTGATTTATTCACTTGGCTTTCAGATATTTTCGCTATTTTTTCTTTAGAACTATTATTTGCAGTTGGGTTTCAACTAAAAATAGAAGGCCTTCGGTATACTCAGTGAGGAATTCGATAGATATAATGGTTTTGAGATCATCAAGAAGTTCATTAAAATGCAGGCATCAATTTTCAATCATCTTACTCGACCAGATGAGATCGATTTTTACATTGACAGAGTAACGTGAGTTTACCTTTCCAGAACATAAGTATAATACATAGTGATAACTACCTTTCCTTTTTTTTAAATTTCTCTAACTTAATTTTGATCGATTAACTATGTCTACTGATAAATCGAAATTGAATCCTTATCTAATGTTGTGTATAGCAACTTAAAGCAATAAAAACGCAATCGTTGTTATTAGCTTAGAACTCCTCATTCGTACTAGATATAGAAAATAAATTGCAATCGTATGAAAGACTTTCGTGCGAACTTTTAGATTTATTTTGCATCGACATTGCAGGCAGAATCATGTCGATTATAAAGTTTATCATTCTTTGTATTATACTGTACGGTGTAGAGAGTACTGTATACGATATCACCACGTCATCATCAAATTGGCAATCTATTCTTAGTAATTTAAAACCTGGTGATCTTGTCACTATGCATCAGGGTACTTATACAACGGCGGGTTCTGGCTATTTTCAGTTGACATTGAACGGTCTATTGACGCAGCCAATCATCATTCAGGGAGCACCTGATGAAGCGCGCCCTGTTATACAAAATCCAAATACTAGTCCAGACGCTCAAAATATTCTCAATATCCAAGGATCCAATTTTATGCTAAAGCACTTGGCATTTACCAAGGGTTCTAGAGGCATAAGAGTAGGACCTGCTGGTAAAATGACAAAAAAAATTTCTAATTATTGACTGCACCGTTTATCATTTCATTTTCGTAGCTACGTTCAATGCAATATTTGACGATCTGTATGTTTATGACACTGCGACTACAGCATTTGCAGCGAATGATGCTGGAAATGAGTATTACAATATTACATTAAGAAATACCGAAATAAAAATTAGCAATACATTTGGTGAGTACATTTTCATAACTGAATCCGTTTCATAGTTGGGTATTACGTGAAAAACAAAAGTATGCTTGGATAGGAGGTGGATGTGTCTATTTCGGCTGTGTAAATGATCTATGTCGTATGCGTGATTCGCTTCTTGAGCATAACTATTGTCACGATACGAATGGCCCTGTAGGAGGCTTTCGACCTGGATTTCAAGTGAAGGTAATATTATGGCGAGTTTTTTTTTTGATTATCAGTTTTTTAAAAATATTTTTACCCATATAGCCTGGCTCATACAATGTCATGATTCGTAATAATGCTTGCTATAGGGTTTCAGGACCATGTATTTTGGTTTATGATGATTACAACCGTGGAAGAAATTTCATCGTGGGTAATTATGCGATTCAGTCCGGCACAGGTGATTTCGGCATACAGTGCACATCTGGAGTAACAATCGCAAACAATGTTATTTTCAGTGCTAGTAAGTTCTGTTATACCAATGATTTATTAACAGTAAGAATGATAACTGGTCAGAGAAGATAATTTGTTTCATATTCGAGCAACTAACGTTTGTTTTGTCTGTCTAGCAACTAAAGCATAAAAATGACTAGAACTTTTTACAGTTCGGAAACATTCGTTTAAATAATTGTTCCAACATTTACTAACTCGCATTTCATGATATTCGAACAAATCGCTCTGTTCATACGAATGATAATAAAGATACAATATTTTGAACAAAATATGTAACTGTCGAAATATTTCTCTCTCTTCTTAAAAGCATCGACTATAGTAAATTTTAAATGAAATATAGATCTGACAGAATATTTCTTCTTAATTACTGAACCCATGATACTGGTCATTAAATAGCATAAATACTACTGTAGTAATCATTGTTCGTTTCTCTGACTAGATCTGGCTGGCATTGGTGTAACTCAGAACTCAGTCTATCCCGCTGTTGGATACATTCGAAATGTTACTATAAGCCATAATACTGTTTACATGTCGGCGGCAGATGCGTGTCTTCGTCTGAATGGCGCAACGCATAGTAACATTCTCATTGCCAACAACGTATTCTATTGTGGCAATCAACCAGCGATCACAGCTGTCACTAACTTAGCTAGTGAATATAAATATTTATCTGCGTAACATATTACTATCAGTCTTAACTGAAAATTGTTCATCATTTTAGGCTACCAAATTTATAATAACGCTATTAACGGTCCAGTTTCAGCTTCCGGAATTCAGCCCGATGGAACATTCAATATCGAATACAATGCTTTTTTCGATCCTAACAAAATGAATTTATATCCAGCTGTAAAATCTCCACTGATCAATGCTGGTATAAACCTTGATAGCCAACCTGTTGCTCATGATTTCAACGGAAAAACTCGATCGAATGCAAAACCAACTGTCGGCGCTTACGTAAGTTAACTTATTTTACATAAATTTTGCAATAAAATTCTTGCGTTTCCTCGTTCGACGATCGTTAGGAATATTCCACAGTGGTGAATCCTGGTTGTCAACTAAATAGTAGTTTCAAATGTGGTTCATCTACAGCTATTACACCAGACTATTTTATTTAATTGCACTTGAATGACCACATGTTGTCATATTTGACAATTTTTCCTTGAACTAATAAATTCTAATCTATTCGTAACTCCGTTTGAATCTTACGAATACATTTAGTTTCCAGTCAACAGATCATGATATAAATCAATTAGGAGAACAAGCATTGTGCATTGTCTGAGAGAATTAATATCGAATCCATATATAGATGTGAATCGAATGAAAATATATTAGCTTATTTCTTAACGAAAAGACAAGTTCAATCTACTGATTTCAACTTTTACTTTTCAGCAATCGATACTATGTCGAAACTAATAATAAAATACATAAGTGAAGTTCCCAGGTTGAACAATCCGTGTTGCCGAATTCCGAACCGGAGGTTGGCGTCCGGTCGCAAAAACTTTGGTGGTGTCCGACAGAAATCGACCGGGATTTGTCCCAATCCGACAAGATCCAACGCCTTCAACTTGACCAGGGTTATCACCCGCTTAGAACGATTTCACCCTCGATTCGCCTGTCAACCTGTTTTAAATGTTCCACTCAGATCCCAACTATAACTAGATGAGCTCTAGCTAATGGTGAAAACCGATTGTCGGTATCTTGTACTAGCCAGGAGAACATTCAAAGATACTAAAATTTTAACATGTTTTTCAGCGTAGTTGTGTGCTCGTTTAACCTGAGACTATGTTCTGATTATTTGCTCGCGTTCATCACTACTTCATCGCATCTCCATTGTGCTCAACTTTATAACACACATCCGTTTTTTCGCAGTTAATGGCATGCCTGTTGTTCAACCACACGATAGCATCTTCAATCAAGTACTTAATAATTAAAGTGTGCTTATTCACGAAAACAGAGGAGTAGTCTTTAGTCGAGTTGGATATTACTTTGATGTGGATGAAATTTATGGACTGGTAGTGACTATATCAGTTATTGAATATGTTTATTCAATTTTATGGGTGTGGGTGTGGTATGGGTGTGAGAATGAGTGTAATTGTGGGTTATTATAAATACCCTCACCGAAACGCACATACGAAGCTAAACAAATTAATTCTGAAAATTCACCATGCATTTTTGGCCTTGAATCATTCTATTCAATGATTGAAACAGCGTAGGGGTAGTGGTTTGGGTTTGTCTACGAGTATTTAGACTAAACCACACCAACCCACACCCACACCCTCACCCCACCGAAGAATCATTCAGAATCAAGGGAATCAGGAGATTATGGAATCGGCTTTTTCCCACTTGCTTCGCCCCCATTTTTGTCATGTGACCAATCGTTTTTGCAAAATGAAAAATGGATAGTTTTGTAGCTCTTGAAACGCTCTATCAGATGACTATCAGACAAAAGATGTCCATTCCATTTTTAAGAACAAAAATGCGGCGGAAGATGAAGAAATAGTAGCAGTATCAGAGAGAAAGTATTCATTTTTTAGAATGGTTTTAAGTCTATATAACTTTAATTAGTATTTTATGAATTTAATATCAACATTTTGATATAAATAAAAGCTTTCACCCTCTATGTAATCCAAGTTGGTTTGAGAAAGTAAAGGAAATAAGCCTATTCATTGTCTTATACGCCCTATCCTTTCAAAACTTCTAGCACTTGTAGCAGCTTAGATAGCAAGTGGAGATACCTTCGGTCAGTCATGTATATGAAAACTATATGATAAAACAGAGACAGCAATGCTCTATGAGCTGTAATAAATATTCTATGTTTTTGATAACAAAGATTCTGTCAAGATTCCATGTCTAGAAGACGTTTCTCTACATCAGTAATCCATTCCAGATTTTGAACAAGTTTTGGATCATCAGCTGGCAAGTTTTTCAAATCGATTTGATACGCTTTTTTCATGCATTCTAATGCTTTATTCGACTGATGCTGTCGATCATAGGCCATCGATAAATTTTGATATGTTATAGCTAGTGGTGGATGGTGTGGTGGTAATGAATTCAATTGAATTTCTAGTGTTTTTTGTAAATATTCAATTGTTTTCGTATAATTACGTTGTGCACTGTAAATCATCGCAATATTATTGTACGATGTTGATAGTGATGGATGGTTAGACGGGAATATTTTCAGTCGAATTTCAATACTTTTTTCATACATTTCCATAGCTTCTCGATAACGCTTTTGCTTCTTGTACACTAATCCAATGCTATTATAATCGACAGCAATACCATTTTGATTGGGATTCAATGTACTTTGATCAATATCTAATGCTTTCTTATAATACGTTAATGCTAGATCATACTCAAACGCATCGCAGGCCATCGATCCTAAATTTGCATAAGTGGGTGCCAGACTTGGATCGTTTTCTGAAAAATGTTTTACTTTTATATCCAAAGATTTTTCATAGTATTCGATGGCTTTGTCTGATTCTCTCATTTCATTGTAGATCGTAGCAAGATCATTATATACACCAGCGACAGTACGAACATTGTCATTGACGTATGGTTCTTGCAGCGCTAGTAGATAGAATTGTTCAGCTTTTTTATACTGGGCCATGACTCTCAGCAGGTCCCCTAGGCTCACTAACGGATGTAACCAAATAATATTCTCTTTCATATATTTGGTTAAATTTTGTAACTGTATGTCTTCTTCACCTGTGAGTTTCAGTTTAACATTCCACAAGCCTTGATCACTCCAATCAACCGACTGTATTCGAAATACAGCTCCTACTGTGAATAAAATTTCGCTTTCAACCTCATTGAAAGCACTTTCCGTTGAAATATTGGCATAAGGAAATTTGTTGATAGTTTTATCAATGTCGATTTCAAACAATACACTTTGCATGTTGCAGGTTCCGCCATTGCTGAAATTGCCAGCATATACACTGGCTAAATCTTTATGTGCAGTTGTTGATAAGAAACTGTTCACTGAGAAGAAACTTCCGGTATTATATCGTATTTTCTTATCAAATTCTTCATTAATCATAAGTTGTCCTCGGTAAACAGTTTCTATTCTTTGAACAGGTGCATCAATAATAGTATTTGACATCTGTTGTTGTATGGCATGGCATTCTTTCAGCTGTAAATGTAAATCTTTGATAAAGAATCGAAGTAAATAGAGTGTATCGATGTCCTGTTCTCTGAGCGCAGCGTTCAAAAGACGATAAAGAAACGTGTCACGTGTGTACCAGAAGATAGCATTACAAGGTATATAATATTCATCGAATTCCTCGATGTATTTCAGTTGTAAATCATTATGGCAGTATTTTTCAAGGCAAAACTCAATCATTTCTTTTGGAGTTGATTCAGTTTCAATTAAAATATCCCTTAATAATAGTGCATACATAAATTCAGCTTCCTGATGTTTAACAGGATTGTACGATTGAGATGACTGCAGTTGACTGATAGAAGTAGTAGAGAAAATACAAGAATATGCCATGCTTGATAATGAATTGATAGTAAAATCGTTGCGGGTGAATCCTTCTCTGGGAAATCGTGTTATGCTTGGCAACTGCTTCAATTGATTACATAATGATCCGAGATCCGCGTAAAATTCACGAATCTTAATCGATGTTTCAAAAGTTTTAGCAGTATTGATGTCTTTTGAACATAGTATGTAGATTGAATTAATTTGTGAATGTTTATTGCATACTTGTAGAAGTGTATCTGAAGGTATTCGCTTTGAAATCATCAGAATTACATTATTTTCACCGTCTTTCAAACTGGTAATATAATTAATGCATTTGTCAAAATCTTGAAACGTTATTACATATGGATCAACCTTGCATAAAGCGAGATGAGTCGCACTCTCAGTTTTAGCAACACCAGATTGGTTTATCCAATTAAGCCAAAATAATAATCGACTTTTGCTTCATTTCCATTATCTTTGCTGTTTCTTTTGATCTGATATCTTCTTAGCGTAATCTTTCAACGGTGTCACTATGACAATATTTTTGTTGCAAACTTGATAAAACTCACATTTTAGGTATTTATTATCAGAATGGCATAATGTATTGAAACAGAATCCAACAGGCTTACTTCTTATTAATGAATGTCTTGATGGTATAAAACATCCGCATACGTTTAATTATAGGCCTCGGGATTTTTCTAACTTTATGAAATGGAAGGCCTCTGAATTACGAACCTTTGTGTTGTATATGGCTTTAACAATACTCATAAAATTACGCTTAAATATGCCAGATTGTTTTCCTAGCGTTTACTTGTCGCATTTTATACTTTTATTTATATATATATATATATATATATATATCCGAGTATTGTGACACTTCAAAGATCGTGGTGAAATAAGAAATATGTCGAAATTTATATATATTTATCTAACTCATTTTTCACGCATCTATAATCCATGTAAAGAGTTGTACTCTGTACATGCTCTTATTCATTTATGGCAGGAAGTAGAACAACACGGTGGCCTGGCATACCATAGGTAATGATTTTTTTCTTTTTACATGTACACGTGTGACAATTGAAACTTTCATACTCTTTTTATAGTTTGTTAGCTTTTGAAAGTTGTCTGTGTGAGTTCGAAAAACTAGCACATGGTTCTACTCTTTTATGTGAACAAATTTCATTTTGGTGGTGTGTCTTTCGTCAGATACGTTCAAGAGAAGTTCGATATTCTTCTAACTTATTTACTGATGAACAACTGATACTCGATAATTTTTTTGGTGAGCATGTTTTGGATAATTATCGCCAAGAATTCGATTTAGTTTACAACCAAATGCTTGGCGAATTTCCGAATTCATCTTTAAGATGCTATTCTTGGTATCAACATGGTTTGATCATATATCATTCTATATCATATACTCGTCGTGGAAATTCCAACAGTTATGATGTATGCGTCAAAGATGATTCAAATCCTATACAATCAAATTTATATTATGGACAAATTCTATTCTTTTTTATGTACATGATAAACCGTTCTTATTCTGAAACGATATGCCAATTCAAATAACACATTGTCTTCTTTATTGAAGCCAATGGAAGAAGTTTCTGGTTGGAGCATATATATTGATAAATACTATCCGCTGGTCCGACAGTCTATATTTGAACTAGTCATTATTCCATGTTCTTACATTGTATCTAAATGTATTCTTTTTCAATTTGATGGAGAATTTTTTATATGTACACAAATTGAACTTGAAGCGGAACATGACTGATTGGTTATAAGGTATTAATGTAATAGTTCATTTTTTAGATATCATTGGGTTCTAAAAATTATCAATCGAATACGAGTAAATATTGCATTACTTAAATTTAACCAGACGAATTTCGTAGCACGTTTTTTTTCAGATTAAACAATGTCCAAACATACTACTGGCTCCATGACACCTGGTAGAGTACGAAAAATTTCAGCTGGTTTATCAAATGCTCGACGAGCTTTTGATGATAATATCGATGATTTTGAAATAGATGAAAATGATTTTGATGGAAGTAAGTAACATTTATCAAAGAGACATCTTTATAGATTGTATTGATCTTATCACAGATTTTCCGATGATTCATAATGCTCCATTTCATAGTCAACAACGTCCATCATCTGTTCACCAGTCGAATTACAACAAAAATACCAGTAAACCATTTTTTATAAGTTATAAAAAAAAATTTTCTGTTAAGATACTTATTATACTCCTCAATTAAAACGGAAATGTATTTACGATCAGGTGACATGTTCTTCTCATGATTCATTCACAGACCTACTGAATACTTTCCAAAATACGTTGAATGAAATGAATCGAAAGATCGACTGGATGAACCAGAGAGAAGTTGTTTTTGAGAAGAAATTCGAAAATGTGGGAAAATCTCTTAGTGGCTTGTCTCGTAAAGCGAACAAGGTAATTTTATTTATTTTTGTTAGCATATGTTTTCTGATTTTTTTGACGAAAGAATCACCAAAATAAATATGTTGGTAATTTTAAAAGAAGATAGATGTGATAAAATACGAATAAATAGATTTGACTTTAAATAAGATGATCAAAGATGTAATAAAAGTGCGACCAGGAATACATAGGTACCGACCTTTGCTTCCTTTTTAATATTCTATAACTATATGACAATGATTATTTATATGTATTGAACATTTGAAAAATATTGATTAAAACCCACACACCCTAATACATTTGTAGCCTAAATTTTTTTTCTTTTATTTTAGAATCCAACACTAAGTTAACCGCCTCGTGAACTTCCTGTTATCGTAAGATTTTCTCTATTTATATATTTAGTAAGTTTTGTTCTTTTAGGATCATGGCGGCTGAAATTTATTTTCTGGGCCAATAGGTCCAACACCAGCTCATTTAATGAAGCGTCTCATTAATGAATTATTTACAAAAGAAGAAATGATGGCTGTGAACATGAAAAAACCAATGAACGAACAGAAAAAATCAAAAGTGAGTAATAAATACTACACTGCCATTTTAATTGTATCCGTTTGACTGTTTTAGGGACTGTCAAGCTGTATTTTTTTCAAAATGATGATATTCAAGTTGCTAGTTTCGGGGATTATGAAGGTAAAGTTATTCGTGAAAATCAACGACGAGGCACGATATTTCGAAACAAATTATTGTGAGTCCTTTTTTATCAATTGAGTTCAGCTACTTTTACTTTTATTTCTATTTTTTAGCGCCGAAGATGATGCATAACAGCTCCACAAACAAAAGGTATTTGATTGTTGTTGTCATTTTTTGAACTTTTTATTTTTTTTCTACAACTACATGTTAAAAAAGTATGATAGTTTTTGGTGAAACAATATGACTGTGAAACATTTTTTTCTTGTGAACATTTTATTTTTTTGTTGTTTTGTTTTCTCGTAATGTGTCACATATACATTTTTTGCCTTATTCTGCCAGTGAAACCTTTTTTGTGAAAATTATGGTGTTAATTTGAACATTATTTTGATTTTTTTGCCGTAACAAATAAAAGTGAAAGCAAGAAGCGACAACTTTGCACCACAAATAGAAACAAGTGTTACATCTATAAACCAATCATAATAAGCATTCATGATCACAACGAACGACATGACGAACGCGTTCGAAACACACGAACACGTACTGATCTACTTGTTCGGAACACGATCGTTCGTTGTTCGGAACGCGTTCTTTTACCGCTTTTCTTGACCTGGGAAGTTTATCTGATCGAATCCACTCTACGATAGTAAAATCAAAACGAAGTGGAACGCGTTCTGTGCGAACACAAGTATTCGAATAGAGGAACCCCCTAGTGAAACATCTTGTAAGTAAGATCTTGGCCAAGATCTTGGGTACAGATAAGTGAACAGATCTTGAAAATTTAGGTACAAGATAATACGATTATCTTGTATCAAGATCTTATTACAGATCTTAGGTAAGATAGTAAAAGATATCTTTTCCATGATCTTGCTAAGATCTTGGGTACAGATTTATCAGATAGAACAAGATCTGAATAAGCGAATTATCTTTTAAAGATCTTGATATGATCTAACTTACCAATCCCAAGATTTCAAGATCTTACTTACAAGATGTTTCACTAGGGCCAGCAGTTTGAGAACTTATACAAATAGCAAAGGAACACGTTCGAGAGCATTACAGAGTTGAAATTACAATAAATAAATGATTTTTTTTCTTCTAAATAAGAACGCGTTCTTACCGCGAAAAACGTGCTCTTATGGAACGATCAGAACACGTTCCTTTTATTCAAAAGAACACGTTTTTCATTACACAAACGCGTCTCAAAAGGTCGAAAAAAGCGTCTTCATAGCGCAGTCTTTTATCTGAACAATGCGTTCTTATCCGTTCTTTTTTTGAATTTTTTTCCATGAGTCAGGTCGAAAGATCCAGTGAACCCGAATCAGATCCGGATTTTATCGGATGTAGTTGGAATCCGACGAAAACCGATAGAATACAGTCAGAACTTAGTCGTATCCAGTCGGATTTAATATCGGAATCCGGGTCACTGGATTCTCGGTCGCTTCCGATAGAATTCTGTTGGTTTTAAAACGACCCGATAGAATCCAATGGCTCAGTTTCGTCCTGGGTAATCATAAAATAGTATGCATAACTTCATGTCTTACCGGTTATTTTGCAATATGCTGAAAGATGACAATATCTATTCTCTGTAATCGAATATTACGAAATACAACATAGATTAGTCAGACTTATGAGCACATTACGTAATAACACTTGCAGTTCTTCTTCCGCATGTTTTGATTGATAAATTTTTATGATATGAGTCTGACTAATGTGTTTGGTTATTTCAAATTCTTCAGAACACAATTTATGTTAATGAGTATCACTACATTTTAATGGATCCCGCTGGATTCCACTAGATCCCGCTGGAACCAATTGGATCCCACTGAATCCCATTAGACCTCAATGGATCCCGGAATCCGCTTTTCCCCCTTGCTTCATCGGGTAACTACTTTAGTTGCACTAGTTAGTTGTAACTAATCTAATTGAGTGCCTTATCTGTTGCAGACGTTGGCTAACATGAGACGCCAATTTTTCCGGTCTTGAGCTGCGTGAAGGAAGTCTACTTTTTCGTAGCCTTGTTTTTCAATCCAAAGGCTTATGTTTTCGAGGTACTTGATCCTTGGTCGACCTTTGTCTTTCTTTCCGTTGATCTTCCCGCTCAATACCAGGTGTTCCAGACAACCTTTACGGATTATATGACCAAGGAATTTTAGTTGCCTGTAACGGATGGTATTCAGGAGACATCTTCTCCATTTCATTCTTTTTAATACTGACTCGTTGCTTTCTTTAGCTGTCCAAGGTACATTCAACATTCTTCTTAGGAACCACATCTCAGTAGCTTCTAAGCGTTTTTCCATTTCTTTGTTGATTGTCCAACATTCAGATCCATATAACAGAATCGACCACACGTAACATTTAAGAACTCTAGTTTTAGTGTTGATCGATATGGATCTATTTTTTAGAATTGGACACATCTTTTGGAATGCTTGTTTAGCGAGAGCAATTCTCTTTTTGATCTCTTCATCACATCGACCATCTGGTGTTATGGTCGATCCTAAATAGTTAAATCGATCTACTTGTTTGATTGTCTCTCCATTTATATTTACATTGCATGATCGTGGAGTTTTATCTTTTGAAATACTCATACATTCCGATTTCTTGACATTTAGTGATAGTCCCATTTTTATGCTTTCTTCTGAAACTATATTAACCATTTTCTGTAGGTCTTCTTCGGTGCTGGCTATTAATACTGTGTCGTCTGCATATCTTAGGTTGTTACAGTTATAACCTCCAATTTTTATTCCTTCTATATCTTCTAGATTTCTGAGTATCATTTCGCTGTAGATGTTAAAGAGATCTGGAGATAAAACACAACCTTGTCTGACACCTCTCTTGATATTTGTGTATTCACTTGTGTCATTGTTTACTTTCATGGCAGCTTTTTGATTCCAGTAAAGATTTCGTATTAGTCGTAGATCTTTGCCATCAATATCGAGTTGTTCTAGAATCTGGAATAGATTGTCATGTTTGACTTTGTCAAATGCTTTTGTGTAGTCAAGAAAACAAAGATATATGTCATGTTTGACTTCAATAGACCTTTCGATTATCATTCGAAGAAAGAAGATCGCATTTCTGGTGCTTTTATCAGGCATGAATCCATATTGTTCTTTAGCTATTTCTGGTCCGGTCTTGCTTTTCATGCGCATCATTAGGATCTTGAGTAGAATTTTCGTGACATGACTCATGAGACTGATTGTGCGATGAAGTTCGCATTCAGTTGCTCCAGGCTTTTTTGGAAGAGCGATGAATATTGATTTTGTTAGGTCTTCCGGTAATTCGCCTGTGTCATATATTTTATTTATTAGTTTTGTCATAATGTCAACACCTCGTTCATCGAGACATTGAATCATTTCGATGGATATTCCATCAGAACCTGTTGCTTTGTTTGTTTTCATTGATTTTATAGCTTGTCTTACTTCGTCTTTCATTATTGAAGGTCCTTCTATATTTTTCTTAATGTTGGGTTTAGGAGCTCTATTATCGTCAAAAAGTTCTCCTATGTATTCTGACCACCTGTTTAATATGTCATGTTTTTCCATAAGGATGGTTCCACTTTTTGATTTGATGCAGCCTGAACTGGTACATCTTGATTTTCCTGTGATTTCATCAATTCTTCTATGAGCATACTTGGTGTTCACGCTCAATTTGTTTTCGATATCTAAACATTGCTCGTTCAGCCATTTCTCTTTTGCTTCTGAGCATTTGATTCTGATTTCTTTATCTATCGATTTGTATTCGAGTGGATTAGACTTTTTGAGTCGTCTTTGTTCCATTAAAAGTAAAATGTCATCAGTCATCCATTTCTTCTTCTTGTTCATTTGAATTTTTGGACGTACTTCTACAGCAGATGCCAATATCGAGGATTTCATCTGTTCCCATAGTGCTTCAGTTTTGGTAGTTTCGCCTAAAGCTTCGAAACGATTTTGTACTTTGATACGGTATTTTTGTTTTATATCTGTATCTTCTTTGAGAAGATGAATTTGAAGTTTGAAGTTCTTCTTTGACTGATTTAATCGTTTTAATTTTACTCTACTTTCACAGATGACTGGAACATGATCACTACCACAATCTGATCCGGGAAATGCTTTAGAGGATATGATAGAATTCCTGAATCGATGAGAGGCCATAATGTAGTCTATTTGATTTCTAGTTCGGTCTCCAGGGCTTCGCCATGTCCATAGTCTACGTGGGGGATTTTTGTACCATGTGTTTGTAATGACGAGGTTATGTGATTGGCACCAGGTCACTAGATTATCTCCTCTATCATTTTTATTTCCTAGGCCAAAAGGTCCTACTGTATTGCCAATTCTCTTATCTCCTACTTTTGCGTTGAAGTCACCCATTACGTAGATAATATCATCTGATTTGCATTGTTTGTAGGCTTTGTCTATATTTCCATAGAAATTCGTAACTGCATCTTCGTCATAGTCAGCTGTCGGTGCATAACCTTGAATGATTGAGATGTTGAAAGGTTTGTCGTGGAGCTTTATAAGAATAACTCTGTCCGAAACAGCCCAAAAGCCTTTTACGCTCTTGGAGGTTTCTTTATCGAGAAGTATACCTACTCCTCTTTCATGCTTGTTTCCTCCGGAGTAGAATAAAGTAAAGTTATCTGTTGTGAAGAATCCAGCTCCCATCCATCTGACTTCTGATAGCCCTAACACGTTGACCTGTAATCTTTGCATTTCCTTTTTTATATTTTCTAATTTTCCTTTTTGAAACATAGTTCTTACGTTCCATGTTCCTATTTTTAGTGAGTTCTTACTACGGACAGTGGTCTGTTGACGATCGAGCGTCACCTGTCGTACATGACCATCTCTACCGAGCGAGGTGTTCTCTCTGAGAACCCCATTCACGCTGTTATCTTGACTGGAAATCTTGGCGTTAATCATATTGTGCTTGGGAATATACAGCGGTGGTTTCCCCTTGCCTTCCGCTGGTTTGGAATGGTTTTCTCCATTTGGTGAATTTGCTAGTCATAGCTAGCGAGCGTCACCTGCCCAGGCTAAGGCTTATGAAACTTAGTTTGAGCAAAATTGCTTCTGGCGGCCTATACACGCCCTGTTATCTTGTCGTCTTTGGGTTTCTGTAGCATTTTATAGAAGTTTTGATGCCAACTAAAACTCCGCCACACCCTGCTGGCAAGATATCTGAATTGTCCGGGACTGTTTATTTAAACAATTGCTTGTTCTTATTCGCAGCTAACCATCATACTGATGGCCATTCCACTATCCGCAACCTGTGGACCCGCTTGGTAGCATTCAGCCTAGCCCCAAGAGTTGTAACTAGTAACCACTATAATTGATTACATACTAATAAGTAATGACTATAAGTGAGTGTTGGTGTCGATGAAGAAGAGAGACATCCACACCCAAAAATTTATATAATTTATTTTGTGCATAAAAGAAAGAAAGTCAAGTTTCGTAATGCGATTTTCGTTGTGAATTTAAAAACTTCTAGAATAAATAACTCTTTTCAAGACTATGATCAAAATGTTCAGCGTTCTCGGTTTTCCTCAATCATTTTATCAATTTTATAAAAATAATAATATCCAGTGTCGGCTAAGTAGTTGCGATCCCAAGTTAATGAAATGATTGTCTGTGTATGAAAATGATAATGGTAATCGACGACTCAGCTACGAGAATCAGTACGTACCATGTTGGTTCGCAAAGCATCAGCCAAGCATTCTGCTCCTTTCTCTTCAATCCCACTTTCATCAAGAAGTAGTGTTGTGAGTGTCTATTTGAAGAAAGACATAAGCTATTTCAAATATAACTCGAAAGAAATCGCAGATCACCGTATTGATCCGTAAAGCATCAGCCAGACTTGTCGCCCCTTCATCACCGATATTATTTTGATTAAGATCTAGTATGGTGAGTGCCTATTTAAAGCAGGTGAAGTGCCAGGAAGAGGAGTATAAGATACTACTGCTCACCATATTTCTTCCTAAAGCATCGGCCAAATGTTGTATTCCTCCTAGTCCAATACGATTCTGCTCAAGGTTCAATGCGGTGAGGGTCTATTCGAAAAAAATATGTTTACAAGATGGGTGACATGAAGGAAATGATTACCATATTATTTCGCAAAACATCAGCCAGTTTTTCTGCTCCTTCATCTCCAATATTATTGTCTCCAAGATTCAGTGTAGTGAGTGTCTTTTTCAGGAGAAAAAATGTGCTCGGGAACATTAGTAAAGAGAAACTGGCGCTTACCACATTGGTTCGTAAGATATCGGCAAAGTATTGTGCTCCGATACTTCCGATTTCATTACACGATATATCTAATGTAATGATTGTCTTTTTTGAAAAATAGATTAGATGCGTGCAAGATCCGTGAATGGAAATTGGTCATTACCGCATTAGTTAGTAGAACATCAGCCAAATGCTGTGCTCCTTCTTCTCCAATTTCATTATCTCCGAGATCGAACCTTGTGAGCGTCTATTTCGAAAAAAAAGTTGTCTCAAAGATCGTAGACAAGAACCAGGTGATCACTGTATTAGTTCGCAAAATAGTAGCCAAAGTTTTCGCTTGTTTATCTCCAATTCTATTTCTATGAAGGCTCAGCGTGGTAAGTGTCTGATTTATGAAATGAATCATATTTGTATAACACGGGCGAAAACAACTTCTTATAACCTTATTAGTTCTTAAAACTTAAGTCAAATGTTGTACTCCTATGGCATTGATTGGGTTCTCTGATAGGTTTAGTGCACTGATTGTCTATTTTAGCAAAAGATCATGTGTCTCGAAAATGAATAAAGAGTAATTTCTCATCACCGCATTCGCTTGTAAACAATTAGCCAAGTATTGGGCACCGATGGGTCCAATCAAATTATTCAGAAGATCTAGGGTAGTAAGTGTCTATTGACAAAAATAGATAAGGTATGTACAAGATTACTGAGAAGAAGCTAGTTATCACTGTATTCGTTTGCAAAGCATCCGCCAAGCATTGTGCTCCTTCGTCTCCTATTTGATTGCCAACAAGATTTAATATCATAAGTATCTATCGCCAATGTAGATGACATGTTAAAGATGGATAAAAAAAACTGATGATAACCTTATTTGTTTGTAAAGCTTGACTCAGATACTTCGCGCCAGTTGGTCCAATTTTATTATAATCAAGATTTAGTGTAGTAAGTGCCTATTGGGAAAAGAGCGGAGACATCTTTTACTTAAGTATAGAGAATCTGTCGCTCACACTATTGATCTGTAAGGTCTCAGCTAAATGTTGTGCGCTTTCGTCTTCGATTGTATTGGAACAAAGTTTGAGTGTGGTGAGAGTCTATTTGAAAAACAAATGAAATACATAAAAGGTAAAGATGAGAAGTCAATTGTCACAGTAGCTGTTCGCAATGCATTGAGCAGATGTTGTACTCCAATGACTGTGATTTGATTCCACAACACATCTACCGTGTTAGAGTTCTATCGGAAAAAGTGATAAGGTGTTTACAGGCAGAGTAAAAGCAATTGGTGATTACCATATTAATTTGTAACCTATCAGGAACTGGCTGTAGGTAATCGAATTGACATACGTAGTAACAAGGATTTCATGTATTGGCGGGACCGAGAGCATTGAAACTAGAAATGTCGAATGTGAAAAGTGTTGAAATATAATATCAAAGTATAAAATGGTCAAAAATATCGAAAACAGAATGTCGAACGATACTTTAGTCGAAATAAAAATGTCGACAATATGAACAAATGTATCGTGATCAATGAAATGTAAATAGTTTTATTACCATACGAGGTCGAAAGTATATAACTGATAATTCAGTATAATAAAAAATATATTAGTGCACATAATAGATCTTGAACTTTCAATACGATTTATGTTGTTCTGCCACAACTGTTGACAAGCAATCTAATAGTAATTGGAGAGAGTGTGGGTATCGGTGGGGGTATTACCAACAATGGATTTATTCCAGGGGAGAAATCAATATTTCATCTACCTCAATATTTGTTGAGGTGTGCAATAAGTACATGGAACTATAATCGAAGTGGATAGAAGTAGGTGAAAATTAAATGGAAATATCATTTTTCCCTTGATGTATTCATATCCACACCCAAGATAGTCGTGCATTTATGGCATCTTCCCACTTTCGACATTCTTGTGCGATCGATATTTGTTTTTTGATCTTTTTATATACGCCTGGAAAAAATAGTTATAGTCGATATTTTAAATATATCATTTCTAAAATATTGTATTATTAAGACAATAATTATATGTATTTAGATTATAACTTGCATTTAACTGACAAACAATATTTGAAATATAATAAGAGTACCCTCATCTTTCGATTCCCAAGGAATTTATTTTTCAATTTTCTTCTCAACAAATTTTATCAATTGATCATCACTATAAATTCTCCTTTTTTAAAAGAGTAAATGCATGTTCTAATAGAGCACTTCGAGCTCTATCAGAATATAGAGTGGGTGAAGGATGAAAAATTGGAATCTTTTGTGATTCTTTTAATATTATTATTATTCTTATCATAATGAAATTAAATTTTGAATATCATGCGATCTTGCAGAGCATAAAATTCATTACCATTTTATATATTTGTCTGATTGCCATTAGTTTCTTTTTATAAAAAGAAACTAATGGCAATCAGACAAATATATAGGATGGTAATGAATTTTAAGCTCTGCAAGATCGTATGATTTTTAAAATTAAATGACATTATAATAAGAATAATACTTTTAAGAAAATCACAACAGATTACAATTATTTTTATCCTTCACCCACCCTATATTGTAATAGAGCTCAAAAAGCTCCATTAGAATATGTAATTACTCTTTTAAAAAAGGAGAGTTTATAGTGATGATCAATTGATAAAATTTGTTGAGAAGAAAATTGAAAAATAAATTCCTTGGGAATCGAAAGATGAGGGTACTCTTATTATATTTCAAATATTGTTTGTCAGTTAAATGCAAGTTATAATCTAAATACATATAATTATTGTCTTAATAATACAATATTTTAGAAATGATATATTTAAAATATCGACTATAACTATTTTTTCCAGGCGTATATGTCGATATTTTCTATTTTGGCATTCTTTTTTCGACGCTTTAAGTTTCGATCTTTTTCATACCATCCTTGTCCAGTCAGTATCTATTTGTAAAAGAGATAAGATGTCTACAAGATGTCAGAGAAGAAATTGATGATTACCGTATTAATTCTCAAAGCTTGTTCCAGACTTTCTATTCCTTGTTCTCCAATTCTGACGTTCCACAGAGTTAGTGTGATGAGTGTCTATTTAAAGAAAAAGAGATAACTTGCTTAGACGATGATAATGAGAATTCTATGTTCACTTTATTAGTTCGTAGAGCATTAGCAAAGTGTTCTGCACCTTCGTCTCCAATTTCATTGTTATCAAGGAATAGTGCCGTAAGTGTCTGTTCAAAAGAGAAATGAAGTGTCTAAGAAATGAGTGAGAATATTGTGGTGATAACTTTGTTGGTTGCTAATGTATCAACCAGACTTAATGCTCCTTTATCTTGTATTCTATTGGCCTGAAGACCTAGTGATGTAAGTGTCTATAGTTAAAAGAAATGAGATATCTGCAAGATGGATCCAAAGAAATCGGTGATCACATTATTGATTCGTAAAGCGTCAGCAAAATGCTGCGCTCCCATA